CCATGAATCTTAAATAAAGCCGATGAGCAGGGCATTTTATCATATCTATGTGTAGTAACGATAACACGTAATAATTGCAAAGTCACTTGTTACTATTTTTGTTATTATCATCGGCATAAGTTTAATCTATATTTCATTATGTTCTGTAAACATTTTATGTACATAGAAATAGGTGCAGTATTATGAAAGATATCCTTCATGATCTGAATATCAAAAAAGGATATAATCAAAAATATACATGTATAAATATATATGTATATACATATATTTATACACATATGCAAGACCACTATTTATACGTTGTACATGCGTACATATATACATACGTGATGATGTAATTTATGAGAAAGTATAAAAATGTAAATTTTATTGTTAGTAAATGTTTTTGTGTATCAAAAAGCATATGCGTATATGTACGTATGTAATTTGATAAGACTACATATATATATATATAAATGTATATTTATAATATTTATATCGACTAACTATTATTTTAGTATTAAGACCATGAAATTGCGATTCTGTGCTCTGTTTGAGAAAGTAAGGGACTCGTCTGTGATTTTGGCTAAAGGAGTTTTTAATATTTTATATTTTTCTATTGATTTTTCTCTCTCCTTTTCTTTCTCACCTTTTTATGTTCACTGAAGTCTAACTCCAGATACTGTTAGTAAAATGATAAGAGCAACTAATGTTAGTAAATTCCTCTGTAATATGGAAATGAGTATACTGATTATATTTCAAATGTGCCTTGAAGAGATTTGAACATAGATATTAATCAATGACCAATAATATATTTTCGATTCGTTTCGGTATTCTAACTGTTTTCTGACATGTACACTTATACCTTCTACATTTTCTAAGTGTGGTTACGGTACATAATTATAGCGAGGCTTCGTGGCCAATGTCCGAATACGTGGAATTATTGAAAAAATATCAAGGGAAAGTGTTTCGAATTTTACTGCACAAACATCTATGTACCTAGCTTTAAAAATATAATTTACACGAACATATATATATTATATTATATATGCATGTATATATATATACATACACTTACATACATATATGTATGTATATATATATTCATACACTTACATACATATATGTATATGTATATATACTTGCAA